AAGATAGGTTGCCATATCATACAGAGTGAGCTTAGATTTATCTCTAAATGGCTCAATTTTACTTCAATCCAAGATATAGTGTTCGTGTCCCTGTCTTTGTCCACACACTTTACACTTTACTTCATCTAGATCCCTATACAAGCCGAACTGCCAGAGATACTTGTAGCCAAGTCTTATACGAGCTGTGACAACATCTGTTAATCTACTGACTTTGTTACTTGCCCCATACACATGTTTTACTGCACACATTTCATTGTGATGAACAATGGACCTGCTAGTTCCAGTTTGCACAGTTCTACTTTCTTCAACTCCATCCAGGAGTTCTCGTCTAATGACACTTTTAAGGGACCTATTTGATAACTCAAGATTCCGTTCAGTACTGTCTTTATTTACTGCAGCCTTAGCAAGGGCGTCAACTTTGTCATGTTCCTGCATGCCAATGTGAGAAGGAATGAACAACATTTTTATATTTACCCTCTTGCTAAGTATTCTTATATATCTAGGTCTAGCTTCCAAGACAAGCACGTTATTACTTGATTGCAAACTGTTTATTGCTCGTAGTGAGGAAAGGGAGTCGGGAATAATTAAGCTGTCTACTTCAGTGTTGTCAATAATTTCGAGTGCTACCAGTGTTGCTACCAACTCGGCTTGCATTGTGGATGCCCAGTTACTAATTCATATTCCTTTGAATTGTGCTGCCATCGGGCTGATGAGCAATAACAGCACCTCCTGCCCTCCCTGTAGCTGTACTGAGTGATCTGTCAGTGTATATGGTCTGTGCTATGTTGTTTCAGGTTGTATATTGTGAATGTGTTCTATGGTGCTTAATTTAGCAGCAAGCTGAGCATGAGGGTTGCTTGTGATTAGTTTCTTGGTGGGGTATGCAGGGGTCAGGATGTCAAAAGGTACTATCTGCCAGGGTGGAAGGAAGTGCTGTACTCTTTCATCTGTATATACATCGTGCAGTCCCATCATTTTAATGAGTGGTTATTCTTAGACTCGCTGGTTCCATTACTGGCAAAATGTTGTTTTTGTTATCACGCAGCAGCTTTAGTCCCATCATAAGATTGATTTCAAATATTCTATCTCGAATGCTAATTATATTTAATTCTTTCCGCATATTGAGAACTTTGGTAGTTATAGGACAGCCAAGTATAATTCTGAGTGCTTCCTTTTGCCTTTTTTCCAGGTTGTCAATACTTTTGCCATTTTGCAGGATTAAAGCTGGTGCATGACAGTCTATCAGAGACCTTATATATGCTCAATACATCATTTTTGCTATTGTAATATTAACACCGTATTTAGGGCTGTACCCCACTACAGTTCTGAGAGCCTTGAGTCTGTCTCTACACTGTTGATGTAACTTATTGACTGCAGTTGAGGTACAAGGGACAGAGACACCAAGGGATTTGAAAGAAGAGACATAGTCTATTGGTATGTTATCTATCTTAAGTTTACGTGGTCCACTTTTGTGGTTGCCAATTTGTCTGTTAAATACCTTAGTTTTATCAGCGTTGATTACAAGACCAATGCTCTCACAGGCTGTATGTATACAATTTAAGACTGTTTGCATTTCGCGGTGGGCTTTAGTATGTACAAGGATGTCATCTGCATAGCTGATAGTGATGATTTCCCAGCGTCAAGAAACCGTCGTACTAACGTGCCCTTACCCTAACCTACCAGAGGACCCAAAACAGAAAACAGGACAGTATGCCAATTTCGCGAGCCGCTACCAGTTTCTAGTACGACGATTTCTGGCCCTTTGGGAGAGTATACGTCAGAATGCGTCTACCGGCTTTGTTGTACCCGTTGCGTTATAATTGAACTTTTCTGACGTTCGAATTCTTTGTCGAATCAGGATTTAAAATTGTGTGTGGAGGTAGCTTCCACAGCTGCTGCTTTCTTCGACTCCTTTAGGTTTCTCCATTCGTCCAACTTTTCCTCGCCTTAAAGATACCAAACAGCCGACGAAACTATACCGTTGCTGCAACAACTATCTAACAGGTTGCAACCACTTTCTAACACAAACTTTGTAACAAGTTGTAACAATCGGGACCGTTACATTGTGTCCTTGTAGGGAAGAGGTTGTGCAATCCCCCTCAGTATCTTGTATGTTGCGATCATCATCCCTTATATTGACATTTTCCTCGAGGGTTGTTGAGTTCTAGTTCCCTTAACTTATCTTGACAGTTCCGCCCTTTTGAGCTCTGCCAGTAATCGTCTTGCAAGTCTTTCTACTTCTTCACTTTTGGTTTTATATTTCACTTGGTGTCGATTCCAGGCTGTAGCTGCATAGTCTAGTATTGTGGTCTGACGAAGGTTGTGTAGATTGTCTTGTATGAGTCCTAGTGGGTATTTCTGGAGATAGTGTTGGAATTAAATCCACTCCCTACACCGTCTCTCTCCCTGCTACTCCCGTAGAGGCCTTCTCCTTACGGTGTAGAGGCCTTCTGGTCTCCCATCTCCTTTTCAAATATTACCTTACACTTCTTGCGATTGAATTCTAGCAACCATTTGTTTGCCCACACCTGATCAGTTTGTCGGTCATCCTGAATTTCGAGGATTTCGGGGCGCTACGTCCGCGCGGCCCGGTCCTCAACCAGGCCTCCTTGACCAGTCCAGCAAACCAAACCCGAACCCCCGCCTGTGTGATGCACAGCCGAGTGCTGTGCCGCTCTGCCTTTATTCATATATGAATATATGAATATATATACATATATCACAGAATATTCACAGGAGAGTTTTGCTGTTAAATCTGAAATAGGAAGCTAAGGTAACGCGTTCTCACACTCAACTGCTGGTTTGTAAATTATTAAGAAATCAACAGTGTGGTTTTCTGCGGTGCTTTATGATACTGGATCCGTCAAGAACTGTTTTGTGGGAGATATTTTGGTCAATGTCTGCCACTTTTCGTCCCTTTTTCTGCTTCCCAAGTGGTCCTTAGCGAACAGTGTGTGTTCTTCTCAAGTGGTCCTTAGTGAACAGTGTGTGTTCTTCCCAAGTGGTCCTTAGCGAACAGTGTGTGTTCTTCCCAAGTGGTCGTTAGCGAACAGTGTGTGTTCTTCCCAAGTGGTCGTTAGCGAACAGTGTGTGTTCTTCCCAAGTGGTCCTTAGCGAACAGTGTGTGTGTTCTTCCCAAGTGGTCCTTAGCGAACAGTGTGTGTTCTTCCCAAGTGGTCGTTAGCGAACAGTGTGTGTTCTTCCCAAGTGGTCCTTAGTGAACAGTGTGTGTTCTTCCCAAGTGGTCCTTAGCGAACAGTGTGTGTTCTTCTCAAGTGGTCCTTAGTGAACAGTGTGTGTTCTTCCCAAGTGGTCCTTAGCGAACAGTGTGTGTTCTTCCCAAGTGGTCGTTAGCGAACAGTGTGTGTTCTTCCCAAGTGGTCGTTAGCGAACAGTGTGTGTGTTCTTCCCAAGTGGTCGTTAGCGAACAGTGTGTGTGTTCTTCCCAAGTGGTCGTTAGTGAACAGTGTGTGTGTTCTTCCCAAGTGGTCCTTAGCGAACAGTGTGTGTGTTCTTCCCAAGTGGTCCTTAGCGAACAGTGTGTGTTCTTCCCAAGTGGTCGTTAGCGAACAGTGTGTGTGTTCTTCCCAAGTGGTCGTTAGCGAACAGTGTGTGTTCTTGTGTTCTTCTCAAGTGGTCGTTAGCGAACAGTGTGTGTTCTTCCCAAGTGGTCGTTAGTGAACAGTGTGTGTGTTCTTCCCAAGTGGTCGTTAGCGAACAGTGTGTGTTCTTCCCAAGTGGTCGTTAGCGAACAGTGTGTGTGTTCTTCCCAAGTGGTCGTTAGCGAACAGTGTGTGTGTTCTTCTCAAGTGGTCGTTAGCGAACAGTGTGTGTGTTCTTCCCAAGTGGTCGTTAGCGAACAGTGTGTGTGTTCTTCCCAAGTGGTCGTTAGTGAACAGTGTGTGTGTTCTTCCCAAGTGGTCGTTAGTGAACAGTGTGTGTGTTCTTCCCAAGTGGTCGTTAGCGAACAGTGTGTGTGTTCTTCCCAAGTGGTCGTTAGTGAACAGTGTGTGTGTTCTTCCCAAGTGGTCCTTAGTGAACAGTGTGTGTTCTTCCCAAGTGGTCCTTAGCGAACAGTGTGTGTGTTCTTCCCAAGTGGTCCTTAGCGAACAGTGTGTGTTCTTCCGAAGTGGTCGTCACATTGAACGGTGTGTGTTCTTCCCAAGTGGACGTTAGTGAACAGTGTGTGTGTGTTCTTCCCAAGCGGTCGTCGAAGTGGATCAGGAACCGATCCTTTGGATTGTATTATAATGCTCCTGAATTAGTATAATGCTCCTGGATTGTATTACTATGCTCCTGGATTAGTATAATGCTCCTGAATTAGTATAATGCTCCTGGATTGTATTACTATGCTCCTGGATTAGTATAATGCTCCTGGATTAGTATAATGCTCCTGGATTGTATTACTATGCTCCTGGATTAGTATAATGCTCCTGAATTAGTATAATGCTCCTGGATTGTATTACTATGCTCCTGGATTAGTATAATGCTCCTGGATTAGTATAATGCTCCTGGATTGTATTACTATGCTCCTGGATTAGTATAATGCTCCTGGATTAGTATAATGCTCCTGGGATCTGTTATATTACTGAAACTATAAAGCCTTATGTAAAAAGGATACTCTCAGCTGTCTATAACAAAAGGCTGTCTTCCTGTCTCTCCTGCCTGTCATTCCTGCCTGTCTGTCGGCCTGCCTGTTTCTCCTGTCTGTTTCTCTTGCCTGTCTGTCGGCCTGCCTGTTTCTCCTGTCTGTTTCTCTTGCCTGTCTGTCGGCCTGCCTGTTTCTCCTGTCTGTTTCTCTTGCCTGTCTGTCGGCCTGCCTGTTTCTCCTGTCAGTTTCTCTTGCCTGTCTGTCGGCCTGCCTGTTTCTCCTGTCTGTTTCTCTTGCCTGTCTGTCGGCCTGCCTATTTCTCCTGTCAGTTTCTCTTGCCTGTCTGTCGGCCTGCCTGTTTCTCCTGTCTGTTTCTCTTGCCTGTCTGTCGGCCTGCCTGTTTCTCCTGTCAGTTTCTCTTGCCTGTCTGTCGGCCTGCCTGTTTCTCCTGTCTGTTTCTCTTGCCTGTCTGTCGGCCTGCCTGTTTCTCCTGTCTGTTTCTCTTGCCTGTCTGTCGGCCTGCCTGTTTCTCCTGTCTGTTTCTCTTGCCTGTCTGTCGGCCTGCCTGTTTCTCCTGTCTGTTTCTCTTGCTTGTCTGTCGGCCTGCCTGTTTCTCCTGTCTGTTTCTCTTGCTTGTCTGTCGGCCTGCCTGTTTCTCCTGTCTGTTTCTCTTGCCTGTCTGTCGGCCTGCCTGTTTCTCCTGTCTGTTTCTCTTGCCTGTCAGTCGGCCGGCCTGTTTCTCCTGTCTGTTTCTCTTGCCTGTCTGTCGGCCGGCCTGTTTCTCCTGTCTGTTTCTCTTGCCTGTCTGTTTCTCTTGCCTGTCTGTCGGCCTGCCTGTTTCTCCTATCTGTTTCTCTTGCCTGTCTGTCGGCCTGCCTGTTTCTCCTGTCTGTTTCTCTTGCCTGTCTGTCGGCCTGCCTGTTTCTCCTGTCTGTTTCTCTTGCCTGTCTGTCGGCCTGCCTGTTTCTCCTGTCTGTTTCTCATGCCTGTCTGTCGGCCTGCCTGTTTCTCCTGTCTGTTTCTCTTGCCTGTCTGTCGGCCTGCCTGTTTCTCCTGTCTGTTTCTCTTGCCTGTCTGTCGGCCTGCCTGTTTCTCCTGTCTGTTTCTCTTGCCTGTCTGTCGGCCTGCCTGTTTCTCCTGTCTGTTTCTCTTGCCTGTCTGTCGGCCTGCCTGTTTCTCCTGTCTGTTTCTCTTGCCTGTCTGTCGGCCTGCCTGTTTCTCTGTCTGTTTCTCTTGCCTGTCTGTCGGCCTGCCTGTTTCTCCTGTCTGTTTCTCTTGCCTGTCTGTCGGCCTGCCTGTTTCTCCTGTCTGTTTCTCTTGCCTGTCTGTCGGCCTGCCTGTTTCTCCTGTCTGTTTCTCTTGCCTGTCTGTCGGCCTGCCTGTTTCTCCTGTCTGTTTCTCTTGCCTGTCTGTCGGCCTGCCTGTTTCTCCTGTTTCTCTTGCCTGTCTGTCGGCCTGCCTGTTTCTCCTGTCTGTTTCTCTTGCCTGTCTGTCGGCCTGCCTGTTTCTCCTGTCTATTTCTCTTGCCTGTCTGTCGGCCTGCCTGTCGGTCTGCCTGTTTCTCCTGTCTGTTTATCGGCCTTGCCTGCTGCTTTCCCCGCATGCCTACCTCTTCTACTTTTCTGCTGACATGCTATCTTATCTATCGACCTGCCATTCCTGTCTATCGACCTGCAGTCCAGCCTTTCCTACCTGTCTATCGACCTGCAGTCCAGCCTTTCCTACCTGTCTATCGACCTGCAGTCCAGCCTTTCCTACCTGTCTATCGACCTGCAGTCCAGCCTTTCCTACCTGTCTATCGACCTGCAGTCCTGCCTTTCCTACCTGTCTATCGACCTGCAGTCCTGCCTTTCCTACCTGTCTATCGACCTGCAGTCCTGCCTTTCCTACCTGTCTATCGACCTGCAGTCCTGCCTTTCCTACCTGTCTATCGACCTGCAGTCCAGCCTTTCCTACCTGTCTATCGACCTGCAGTCCAGCCTTTCCTACCTGTCTATCGACCTGCAGTCCAGCCTTTCCTACCTGTCTATCGACCTGCAGTCCAGCCTTTCCTACCTGTCTATCGACCTGCAGTCCAGCCTTTGCTACCTGTCTATCGACCTGCAGTCCAGCCTTTGCTACCTGTCTATCGACCTGCTGTCCAGCCTTTGCTACCTGTCTATCGACCTGCTGTCCAGCCTTTCCTACCTGTCTATCGTCCTGCAGTCCAGCCTTTCCTACCTGTCTATCGTCCTGCCGTCCAGCCTTTCCAACCTGTCTATCGACCTGCCGTCCAGCCTTTCCAACCTGTCTATCGACCTGCCGTCCAGCCTTTCCTACCTGTCTATCGACCTGCAGTCCAGCCTTTCCCACCTGTCTATCGACCTGCCGTCCAGCCTTTCCCACCTGTCTATCGACCTGCCGTCCAGCCTTTCCCACCTGTCTATCGACCTGCCGTCCAGTCTTTCCCACCTGTCTATCGACCTGCCGTCCAGTCTTTCCATCCTGTCTATCGACCTGCAGTCCAGCCTCTCCAACCTGTCTATCGACCTGCCGTCCAGCCTCTCCCACCTGTCTATCGACCTGCCGTCCAGCCTTTCCCACCTGTCTATCGACCTGCCGTCCAGTCTTTCCAACCTGTCTATCGACCTGCCGTCCAGTCTTTCCATCCTGTCTATCGACCTGCAGTCCAGCCTCTCCAACCTGTCTATCGACCTGCCGTCCAGCCTCTCCCACCTGTCTATCGACCTGCCGTCCAGCCTCTCCCACCTGTCTATCGACCTGCCGTCCAGTCTTTCCAACCTGTCTATCGACCTGCCGTCCAGTCTTTCCATCCTGTCTATCGACCTGCCGTCCAGTCTTTCCATCCTGTCTATCGACCTGCCGTCCAGTCTTTCCATCCTGTCTATCGACCTGCCGTCCAGCCTCTCCAACCTGTCTATCGACCTGCAGTCCAGCCTCTCCAACCTGTCTATCGACCTGCCGTCCAGCCTTTCCAACCTGTCTATCGACCTGCCGTCCAGCCTCTCCAACCTGTCTATCGACCTGCAGTCCAGCCTCTCCAACCTGTCTATCGACCTGCCTACCCTCCAGCACAGTAGTACAACCGTCGAGACAGCCTCTATACAGGTAGAGGCGGAGGGTTCCAGCAGCCACGGTCTGCTCCTCACAGCCATCCACTACCTGGAACGTGCTCCACTGATTCTTTCATGGATCGCGCGCGTAGGAGAGGCAAAAGCCGTTTTTGTGAGTCCCACCCCCTCCCTTCTCCGTTCCTGCCGCCCCCTCCCTTCTCCGTTCCTGCCGCCCCCTCTCACACAAAGGGAAAGGCGCCGTGCGAATGATGAATGAAGGAGGCAGCCACAAAGCGACAATTTGTAGCAGGTGAGAACTGCTGACTTCTTAAGATTTGGCAACAAAGGTGGCGACCCGTTTTCATGGGAACTGGTGGGTCGTACGGCGTCCAGCGGGGCAGACTGCTTCACCTTGCCTCTTGGTCTAGGGGGTTGGTGTGTGGGTGTTGGGTGGGTGTGTGAGTGGGTGTGTGTGTGTGTAGGGTGTGTGTTGGGTGGGTGTGTGAGTGGGTGGGTGTGTGTGTGTGTAGGGTGTGTGAGTGGGTGTGTGTGTGTGTAGGGTGTGTGTGTGTGTGTGTGTGTAGGGTGTGTGTTGGGTGGGTGTGTGAGTGGGGGTGTGTGAGAGTTGGGGGGGGGGGTGTGAGTTGGGGTGTGTGGGGGGGGGGGTGTACTGTGTGTGTGTGTGGTGTGTGTTCGGTGGGTGTGTGGGGGGGTTTGGGGGGGGGTACTCGGCTATTTCTCCCTGCATGATCGAACATTAGCTCTTGGACTCGACTTTTCTAGCCGCTGATGGTCTAATGCAATGAATCGTGACCTTATATTTCCTCCGTCATATCCACTTTTCAAGTTATGAATCGAATGAGCTTCTATAACCTTCTCCTTTAATTCTTTCCATTTTCCTACTACTACTATCACGCTAAAAGAAAACTTTCTGACATCTCTGAGTCTGAAGCTTCCATCAATGCCATTCTGTTCTATTGGTATTGTGGACATTTCCACTTTCACTACGCTGTCCATCCCCATAAGTATTTTACACATCTATGTTATATTCTTCCTCTCTCCTCTTTTGTAGCGTCGTAATGTTTAGTTCCTTCAGTCTCCATCTCGTGCAGTTTTGGGTCGAACCTCGCTGATAACTTGTGAACCTTTTCAAGGTTCCATTTCTCTCTCTCTACCTGTGTGCTTAATCCTCTTTTATACTCTTTTATACTTATAATAAAACTGGTCAGACATAGGCGCCGTACAGCGCTCTAATTGGCTCATTAGTTTGGTTCCTATATGATCTAACTCTTGCACAACCCCACAAGCACAACTAGGTGAGTACGTATGAAGGAACACCAACAAGGGCATAACCAACATAACCCAAATTCAGGACTGACAGACACTGAAAAGTTGAGGTAACAACCAAATTGGTTCCAGTGGTAGCACAAGGGGGCCTAACCTCCCCCCCCCCATCAAAGACCCCCTATTTTACCCCTAGCCGACTGATTCCCATTTAACACTATCCCTCCCAATTCCTCTATGGACACGTTTTCGCTGGAGATGGTGGATCAGCCTGACTGTGATGGCAAGTGGCGGTCACCAGGGCATGAGGTCACCAGGGCAGGAGGTCACCAGGGCAGGAGGTCACCAGTGCAGGTCACCAGGGCAGGAGGTCACCAGGGCAGGAGGTCACCAGGGCAGGTGGTCACCAGGGCAGGAGGTCACCAGGGCAGGTGGTCACCAGGGCAGGAGGTCACCAGGGCAGGTGGTCACCAGGGCAGGAGGTCACCAGGGCAGGAGGTCACCAGGGCAGGAGGTCACCAGGGCAGGAGGTCACCAGGGCAGGAGGTCACCAGGGCAGGAGGTCACCAGGGCAGGAGGTCACCAGGGCAGGAGGTCACCAGGGCAGGAGGTCACCAGGGCAGGAGGTCACCAGGGCAGGAGGTCACCAGGGCAGGAGGTCACCAGGGCAGGAGGTCACCAGGGCAGGAGGTCACCAGGGCAGGAGATCACCAGGGCAGGTCACCAGGGCAGGTGGTCACCAGGGCAGGTGGTCACCAGGGCAGGAGGTCACCAGGGCAGGAGGTCACCAGGGCAGGAGGTCACCAGGGCAGGAGGTCACCAGGGCAGGATGTAACACTGTAAAAGTGTTTGGGTTAGTTTATTTAAATATATATAGAATATGAGTCACAGACAGGGATTTGGAAAGGCGCCAAGTTGTCGGCGGAGATCTCACACCTCTAACCGTTAATGACCTCAAGTGACCTGAGGTCAGATCATGAGAATTTCACCTTGCTTCCGCTAAGCTCTTAATTGTAGCCGGGTAGCCTTCAAACATGCCGACGTTTAAGGAGTGGCTTGGTAGTGCCGGAGGCTATCTACTTGTGGGCGGAGTTAGCTACTAGGTTCCCCAATAAATACTCGGAGAACTATCGAGCATAAAGCATTAACAGACAGAGCAGCAGACGAGAGAGAGACGACGTCCCTACCAGGGAGGCTGTCGGCCGGCAGGGGCGAGACAGTCTCTGTCAAGCTACAGACCCCCCCCCCCCCTCTCTATTCAACTTAGACTCAGTACTCGGTGAGTGAACATTAAGGTGACTTGGTCGTGTTTACATATGTTGTGTGATGATCAGGGGCAGTCAAGTTGTAGGGTTCTCGAATTCTTGGATGATGACTCACTTTGCATATTAACTGGAACATTTTAATTGAATTGCTAAATTATGATACTTCATGGGAAATATAATTATGAATTTATTATTTAAATGGTGTTTAACTTGGTTCCCTAGAGCTTAGAGTTGAGGTGAGAAAGCCTCGGGGATTATTGGTTCCCTGATTTTAAGGAGTACATGGTACAGAGGGAACATACTAATAAAGAACTCATGATAACATCTTTTGAGAATTTTGTGATACAGGCAAGTTCCATTCCTTGTCTTGTATGTAATGATCATGAATGGATGGTGGCAGCATTTCGTCTTCTACTATCTACTCTTCTACTTCTACTATCTACTCTTCTACTTTTACCTATCTACACCTCTCCCTCCACCCTTCTCTAAACTCTCACTTTCAACTAATGACCCTTCTCGCTCCTCCCACCTCTCTGCCTCTCACCCCAAACCCTCACTAATTACTTCACGATTCATTTCTTTCCTTTCGTTTTCTCTTATACGTTTGTGGCAGTGATTATGTATTCTAGAGTTCTCTCTAGAGTTTCGGGTAACTGATCAAGTGACGGCGCCTTGTAGTCTCAGCACCTAGGTAGTCAAATACCTAGGTTACAAGGTGTTGAACGAGAGAGGCTGCCTTAGGAAATCTGGAGGGTGCTCTAGAATAGTTAGCTAACTGGGGACGGGATAACGGACTAGAGAGAGCTGTTTCCCCCGGCCTCGTTAGTTAACTGGGGGGGTGGAATAATGGACAAGATAGAGCTATTTCCCCCACCCCCCGTTACAAGGAGGTCACCAGGGCAGGAGGTCACCAGGGCAGGTGGTCACCAGGGCAGGTGGTCACCAGGGCAGGAGGTCACCAGGGCAGGAGGTCACCAGGGCAGGAGGTCACCAGGGCAGGA